ACCGTGGCAGCGCCCTTCACCGCACCGCTGGATAGCGATGCGGTACTCTAATCCGTTGTGGTAGATGCTGGAGCATGCTCATCGTCTTGCTGCAAGTGTCCGTCGTGCTGACCACCGACGTGCTGCATATACTCGTGCTGTGGATCTCCTCATCGTCGTGCTGCTCACCGTCGACGTGCTGCCAGCGGCCGTCATGCCGCTTCAATGGCCGTGCTGCCCGTCTTGGTTCTGCTAGAACCTGTCGTGGCGCGCAGCGCTAGGGTACTCGTTGCCGGCGTGCTGCGCAGCGTCGTACTGCTGAAGCCCGTCGTGCTGCTCAAAGCCATGCTGCTGGTATCCAACGTCCATCGCATTCTTGGGGGTGGGCCAACTAGCTCCACCCCGCGCAGGAATTCCTCTAGCTCATCGATGCCGAACAGCTCTACGAGGTACTTCCGTCGAGATTTTTCGGGCCAGCTAACCCCCCAGCGCGCCGGAACTGGGAGCCGGCGGTAAACCGTCAACCAGTTTACCGCCGGGACCGCAAGTGCAATACTTGTTCGTACTGGTAGAGGTCGTACTGCTGGAGGCGGCAGCGCTGCTCAGCGTCGTGCTGCTGGTGCCCGTCGTGCTGCTCCACGTCGTACTGCGGGAGGCCGTCGTGCTGCTCGGCGTGGCGCTTCTGGGCGTTAGATTCGCAGGCGTTGCACTCTGTCGTGCTGTTCCCCGTTGTACGGACGTAAACCAATCGTCAAGCGAGAGTGTCTGGCAGATGGGCTGGTGCACCCACAACCACCAGCATGAGGCTGTTCGAACACATGTCCACAATCTTCGCCACGGTCCTCCACGGAACCTTCGCATTTGTCGAAATGGTTCCCTTCCTACCCCGCTCCCAGGTCCCATCAAGACCTTTTGCTGTTTCAATCCCTCCAGCCCTCTGGGCGTAGGCGGTCTAACAAGATTCTTTCTTTCCTCTTCGAAAACCCCCTCGTCCCCTTCGAGGGTTTACCCCTCCCCCTACCCCCTCCCCTGGACCTGGACGGGGCATCTCGCGAGGTGGCAGAGGGTCCCTTTTCGGCCCCTTGGAGGGCCAATTGTTGACACCACTCACGAAGATCGTGACCCCCGAGGGGGGGAGCCGATCGGGACCCTCCCTCCTTTGATCGAGAACCTCGAAGATGGCCCCAAGAGGCGCTCCAGAGCTCGAGAGAGAGCCCCAAGGGAGCCCCAAGAGGGCTCGAAGAGAGTCCCAAGAGGGCTCCAAGGGGCACCCGAGAGGCCCCCAAGAGGCCCCCGAGCGGCCTCAGAGAGGCCAGGATGACCTCCAAGATGGCTCTGATAGCCCAAGCTGGCTCAAGATGGCTCCCAAGATGCTCCAAGCGGCCCCAAGACCGCTCCAAGTGCGCTCCCGGCGAGCCCCAAGAAGCGGTTCGCCGGCTCCTGAGGGGGGGAGCTGAATTGGGGACCCCCCCCTCCTGTAATCAATGGCCTCCTAGATGATCCCAAGAAGCCTTCCAGAGTTACCAAGAGGGTTCCAAGAGGGCCCCCCGCACTCCCAGAGAGCACCAGCAGCAGCAGCAGCAGCAGCAGCAGCAGCAGCAGCAGCAGCCGCAATAATACCTCTAGATGGTTTCATGAGCCGTCGTCCGCGTCGTCCTCACCCTAATCCTCGCCTTCCTCGTCCTTGTCCTCATTCGCGTACTCGGCGTCCTCCTCGTCCTCCTCGTTCTCCTCGTCCTCCTCGTCCTCGTCTTCGTCCTCGTCCTCGTCCTCGTCCTCCTCCTCCTCCTCCTCCTCCTCCTCCTCCTCCTCCTCCTCCTCCTCCTCCTCCTCCTCCTCTCCCCCTCGCCTCCACGCATCCCCCAGGGATGGCCTGACGAGACCTTCAGAGGCCGCCCCCTTGCTCCCAGAGATCTCTCGGTTCACCCCCTGGTTGCTCGCTTTGTCTCCCCAGATGTGTCTCTTCGTCCCTTTTCCCGTCAGCTCTCATGGTCTTGAGGGATGAAAAAAACGACCCTGCCCTGGGTTACAAGTGCGTGGTCTGTAAACCTCCAGCCCAGAGAGCCGCCAGGACGCCGCACATCACGCAGGGTTTACACTGACAGCCCACAGGAGTTTCAGCGCACAGCGCCTCGTAAACCAGGGTAGGGGCGTTTCTTATGCCCTTGATGGTCAGGGCTTCTGAATGGACTGGTGGGTTTTTTGCTCGCGAGCGCGCATGGGGTGCCCGGCGCCGTCAAGAAACGCGGCGAAAGAGCACCGGACGAAACTCCGCACGAGAGCGCACAGGGACGAGCCACGCTGCGGCTCAAGAGACGCGGTGGACCAGGCGGAGGCATTGGCCGAGGTGCAGCACCCGAATGGCGAAATTCATGGAGTCCACGTGCACGAGGACGACGATCGGGCGTGCAGGCGCTCGGCGGAATAATTCCGGATCGCCAAGAAGGGGAGCGTGCCGGCGGCGGAAGCGCCACCACGGCGGGGGAGCAGGAGAAGCGACGCCAGAGCAGCACAACGGCAGCGAAGGCGACGAGCCAGCGGAAAAAGGCCACGTCCTGGACTGGAAGCGGCGGCGCCCAAGCCAGGGGTACAAGTCAACCCTCTGGGAGGCGGCGTGGGCTGGTGGGGATACGCGAAGCATGAAGAATTGCCCCGCAGTGTAGTTCGCCGCGCGCCTGCGCCAAGTAGAGACCAGACAGTCGTGCAGTCGCAAAAGCCTCGCCCAAGCCAGGAAGTCCCCCTCCTCCTCCTCCTCCTCCTCCTCCTCCTCCTCCTCCTCCTCCTCCTCCTCCCCCTCCTCCTCCTCCTCCTCCTCCTCCTCCTCCTCCTCCTCCGCCTCCTTTCCTCCTCCTCCTCCTCCTCCTCCTCCTCCTCCTCCTCCAGGTGGCCCAGGCCTGGCGCTAGCACGCGCGCCACCCACGAAGCGGCCCCATCCATGCATTCCTCGAGGGGCATGCAACCCTCTGGGAGCCCGCGGCGCCAGGCGGCGCACTGCGCCCTGATGCGATGTCGGCAGGGCTCGTGCGCATTGTGCAGTACAACCCGATGGCAGCCAACGCATACGCCAGACTCACGGATGTCACGGAGGAGCTGGGGGTCAAGGACATAGTCTCTCTCACTCATCGAATCAGGCTACTCCTGGAGAGCGATGACGAGCAAAGCGTGCGGAGTGTCTCTTCTGGTTCGAAGGAGCAGGTTTCCCCCCAGCTCTCTCAAGCGAGTTCTACCAGTGCCGAAAATCTATTTGGGGCAGATGCATTGGAGTTTTATTTCAGCGATGTGAAATTATTCGTGGTATTATGTCTGTATGCTACCCGCCTCGTGAAGCGAGCAGAACACGCCGAGCCCTCGATGAGAGAACCGTAGAGATGATCAGCAACTGGGTAGCGGAGGCCATGGGATTCTTCAGAGAGCGTGGAGCCCTACCCATCATATGCAGGGACGTCAACGGCGCCTTCCCGTATTCGGACAAGGATCATGCTGCTGCGAGGTACGGCCGTGGAAAAATACTCCTAGCTCAGCGAGATTGAGGCCGCTTCTTGAAGGATGGGAGATGACGGCTGCCACCCCACACTACGGCACGGTCCCAACCTTCATTTCCAATCAGCGCGGCTCGAGCTATATCGATCACATCATGATTCCAAAGGGTTTGTGTAAAGCAATGGAGAAGGTTCTTATTTTGAGACAGTTTGCGCGCAGGTTGCAACTTATCGGTGGCAATGAGGCGCGGGATCATCGCCCTGTCTCAATCATCATTCTCCTGCAGCTCACGAGTGAGCGCATGCCCCGCAAAGGGCCGAGACCCAATCGCGAAGCCCTGTATCAATGTGTTCAGACGGGGCACAAGCGGAGAGAAGTTGTTGAGGAGATGGGGAGGATTGCGGAGGAGAGGAGCGAGGAATTCAACGAGGCGAAGGCGGCAAGGTAGACAAGATGAATGAACATGTCAAGGCGATCCTAAGCGGGGCTGTAGTGAACGTAATTCATGAGTCGCCTTCGTACACGCAGCCTTTACTTGAACTACGAGCCTTACTAGCATTTAGTTGAACACGAGCCTTGAACTACGAGTTGAATCTAGATGAATCGGGCTCGTTCTGGAATCAGGCAAAAAGTGGTTTGCTCCCCGGGGACACTGGAGCGATGCAGTTGTTCTGCCGCACGTACTCGGAGCCAGGTTTAGAATGTTATGCCGACTTGACGGTCATTAAGAGTTGGCATCAGTTTCTGGAAGCAGCCCTTCCATGGAACGTGGATTGGGTCGAGCAGTTTGCCATGACTGGTTTTGTCGACAAAATCGCCTGCCAAGTACTGTAGGAGGGAGGGGGCGAGATGGAGGATACGATCAGCGAGGGGGGTCAGCTGGAGAATCAGGCGGTGGATGAGGGGCTTGGGAGGATTGGTGCAGGACAGAATGCTTCAAAACAGGAGAACATTCGCTGGCAATATTAAGTATTATATATTAGGATGGGATTAGTTCTAAGGAAGAAGATCTACTGGTGCATACATATTCATAATAACGGTGGGACCTCTGCATGCATGGTGTCTCAGTACGTTGTGAACTCGTTCGTGACGAACTTCATAAATCAGCCCTGAGGCTACTCGCCAGGCCGCGCCCCCGCGCAGGCGAGGCAGTGCTCGCATCTGCCTTGCTGTCGCCGCGGACGGGAACTGACTAGAGAGGGTAAGGTAAGGGTTCTGAGGGATCCCCCCCACCCAGAGCAAATCGTCAGAAGGACTTCTGTTCTAGAGATTGCTTGAATGGGCAGTGAGAGAGAGAGAGAGAGAAACTCCTCCTCCTCCTCCTCCTCCTCCTCCTCCTCCTCCTCTTCCTCCTACTTCCCCCTCCTCCTCCTCCTCCGTCCCTCCCTCCCCGCCCTTCCTTCCTCCCTCCCCCTGCCCTTCCTCCCCCCCGCCCTCCTTTCCTCCTTCCCTCCCTCCTCCCTCTCTCCTCCCGACCATGGCGGCGGCGGCAACGACGACGACGACGGCGTCGGCGGCGACGTTCGCAAGCCCCCCGGGGCCTCGCTGGCGCACGAGGCCGGGACAGGGGCGGCCTCCAGCGGCGGCTCCTCCTCGGCGCAGGGGCGGCCAAGGGTGTCAGCTTCGTCGTTGTCGTCGTCGTCGTCGTCGCCAGGAAGAGGTACATCGAGGGCCGGCGGGGAGGGAAGAGTGAGGGACAGAGAGGCCCGAGGAGGATGGAAAAGGGAGTGGGAAAGGAGGATGAGCTCCAATACCACGAGGCATTCGTCGAAATCCCACGAGACCCAACTCCAAGCGAAGGGCTTCAGCCACCTGTAGGGCCGTGTTGCGTTAGGCGGAGGATGAAGTACAGAGGAATCGTGTGGGCAAACGTAAACAAACCCCGTTCGGGTGATAAGGAAGTTGTGCGGGCGGGGGTGGCAACTGATGACACTTACGATGCTTGTGATGTTAAGGATGCTGGCGATGCGCTCGCAAGCCGGCGACGATGCATGATGAAGATGCTGGTGAAACAATTGGGGCAAGAATGCGGCAGCGTTGGGGCAGCATCAGGGCACCGTCGAAACACCATCGGTGCACCATCGAATCACCATCGGGCGGAGACACATTAATGACACCATCGCGACCCACTATCGATCAGCCAATGTTTCTATCAGCGGGTCTCCTTATCCACTTCACAATCGACCCCACTATACATGCATATCTGTATACTGATGTATATGTACAACGGTATTTCTATCTATGTATGCAAGTATATATCGATCGATCTCGCCACCGATTTCAAAATGCATCCCACTATCTATCCGTGCCGTTATCCGTCACTGGTGGCACTACCACCGCCATAACGGGAAAATGAGTGCCACCTCCTCTGCTGGAGGTGGCATTCATTTGCCCGCGATCCCTGTGGCGCCCCAGATGGCCGAATGCATGTTCGCACAACTGCGGATGTGTGTGTGTGTGATGATGACGGCATGGACGAAAAAGATGATGGTGATGATGGTCGCGGTGGTGCTGAGCGTGATGAAGATAACGATGATGGTGATGGTGAGTAAGATCATGGTGATGCACCCGTGAGATTGTTCCCAAACAAGATGCCCGCTCCGGTGGTTCAGGGCAAACAAGGAGCGCTTGGCGGGACTTCAGCCCCAGCCCATGTCCAAAAAGATGGAGAACCGGTCCGAGGTAGGGGCGGCGCCCGTAGAGTAAGGATGCGGGTCGACTGTACTTGTTGCGCGCACCTTGACTGTTCATCCGTAGAGCCTGACTGGTTCCCGATCTCGGATCGTTTTTCACTGCCGGGGCCACCAGAGATGGCCATGTGCAGCCGAATAGACATGAAGAGCGCTGGAGTGGAACAAAAACAGCCCGCCCGAAGCCTGAGCCTCCCCCTCCACAAGGGGCCCAGCATTCCCGAACGGAGAACTTAACTCTGTCCGAACGCTACAGAACCTTGCGCGCACTCGCTCCCTCCAGGGTTGGGCTCTTGCGCGGCTGCCGTGCAACAGGGAACGGCCCCCGACCGCGTCGACCTGGAGGCCGTGGTCACCGCCGTGATCGTCGTGATCGTTGTCGTCGTCGTCGTCGTCACCACCGTCATCCTCGTCGTCCTCGTCGTCGTCCTCGTCGTCATGGTCGTCGTCCTCGTCGTCATTGTCGTCGCAATCGCAAACGTACTTGCCCTGGTTTTCGCTGTCGTCGTGAAAGTCATCGTCGTCGTCGTCGCCGGCGGTCAAAAAAACCTGCTCGGAGGCATCTTGGGGTGCACTCTTCGTCGATCCTTGGAGAGCATAGGGTGCCCCCGAGCTTCTGCAGGTCTCCCCGGCCGTCGGGCGATAACGCATTTTCGAGGGGCACATGCCAGCACAGCGGTTCCATCTTCGACGTGCCTGCTGTACCCATTGCTCGTATCTCTGGCGGCTCGGGCAGCTGTAGCGCTGGAGGCGTCGGCGTCTGGAGGCCGCCTCCGGGCCGTGGGCCCGTGGCTGAGTCTCGGCTGCACGCGAGAGTGGCCCTGAGCAAGAGTGACCGTTTGGTGCGCGGCTCGCCGATCGGTGCAAGCGGTGCGGCAACAGCGGCCTGCGCGATCGGGTTCGAGCCTCCCCCTCCCGAAACCGCGCACCAGAGGTCACTCTGGCAAAAGGTCACTCTTGCGTGCAACCGTCGTCTTCGTCCTCGTCCTCGTCGTCGTCGTCGTCGCTGCCGCCGTCGTCGTCGCTCCCCCCGGGCTGCGCTCCTCCGCCGCCGCCGTCCGCGTGCGCAGCTCGGCGAAACTCACGGCCGGGCCCGCGAGGAAGCCCTCCAGCCGGCCGGCCGCGTCCTGCAGCGCCTTCGCTGCGGAGTCGGCGAGAGGGGGGGGGGCAGTCCGGGTGCGCGGTTCCTCCGTCCTGTACCTGCCGCTGCTCCCCGTTGTGGTCCTCATCGCGTGCCCTCGTCTGGAGGGCCGGCGCTTACAAGGGGTTTGGGGGAGTTCCCCCCTCCTTCTCTTCCTCCTCTTCCCCTCTTCCCCTCATCCTCCTGCTCCTCCTCCTCCTCCACTTCCTCCTCCTCCCCATCCTCTGGTTTTCCCTCCTCCTCCTTACCCTGCTGCTGCTCCTCCTCCTCTGGCTCCTCCTCCTCCTCCTCATCTTCCTCTTCCTCCTCTTCCTCCTCCCCATCCTCTGATTTTTCCTCTTCCTCCTCCTCCTGCTGCTGCTCCTCCTCCTGCTCCCGCTCCTCCTGCTCCTCCTCCTCATCCTCTTCCTCCTCCTCCTCCTCCTCCTTTTCCTCCTCTTCCTCCTCTTCTTCCTCCTCCTCCTCCTCCTCCTCCTCCTCCCCCTCTTCCTCCTCCTCCTCCTGCTCCTCCTGCTCCTCCTCCCTCCTCCACCCATGACGTTGACGCGTCGAGCACGAAAGCTCCACGGTGAAAACGCAGCGTGGGCAGCTGCCCTGGTCTTGGCTCGCCGCCTCCACGTGCTGGCGGGTGGCTCGGTCAATATATGGAGCACCCGCCCCTGCCGGAGCTTGCCCTCCCATCGCCCGCGGCTTGGCGGGCGCGGGCGCAGCAAGAGTGAGAGAGAGGGGGGGCGGTGCTCTAACCAGCCTCGAACTTATCCCTATCCCTAAGATGGGCGAGCAAACGGCGAGGACAATCTTGGGGATAGGCCCTCAGAGACTGAGGGAATCCTTAAGATCGGCATCGAGGTGAGGTGATGTCAGACATAGGGATCATTAGGGACATGTTTCAAACTGGTAAGTGCTCTTTCTGCTGGACGTACTCAGAATCACGCCTGCCGAGCCAACGCAACCAACCTGGGCACATGGGCGGCGCGCGGGCGCCCGACACGGAGGGGGTCGGGCACAGGGGGTCGGCACGGGCAGGGCGGGACAACGGCGCGCGGCCGACGGACAGCGAAACGGATGGGCGGCCCCGCCACCTTGCAAGCTGAGGGCTGAACGTCGGTGTGCTATCTGCCGGCGCGTCAACGAGCCCTGGCAATAGCTTTGCAAAACAGCCTCCTGAAGTCCTGAAGGCGCCGGGCTGGGAGGAGAGAGGGCCCGATCGTCCCTGCAACCACGCGCGCGACGAAAGTGCTGAAGAAGCCTTGAGTCGCCCCAGGAATCCCAACAGCAGAAGGGGCAGCACGCGCACTTGACGGAACTCTCAGGGAAGTGATGTCCCGTGTGGGCCTTAGACTTGTGGGCATTAGGCAGCCTAGCAAAGGAAACGACGCGCCCGCGCTCATAGCACGCGTAGCCCGATGGAGAAGGGCACCGAACCAACCTCGAAGGGGGCGGGGAGGGGGGGGGGGGGGCAGGGCTATAGGGCAAGAACGACACGAGATTGTAGAGTCGCTCCTGACGAGCGAGAGCATCTGCTGCCCCTCGCCGTCGCTCGCAAACTACCGGAGCTCATGGGCGAAAGCAGGGCCGTGAACTCTGGCCAGCAAACGACTTCTCCCGGAGCGAAGCTTGCAGTCAAGCCTGCAATCATCGCTGAGAGTAGCCTCTCTGATCCACTGGAGGTTGATGAGAAGCATGCCAGTCCATCCCGGACCACTGGAAATCCAACTGGGGGAGGCACTTCGAAGCCCGGGGGCGCGAAGGGCGCGCGGGGGAGGCGGCGAAGCCGGCCACCCCCGAGCGCCACGTCGCGCAGCAGCCCCTCGGCTTCCGCCGAGATTCGGCGCGACGAGCTGCGCCCCTGCAGGCGAGTCGCCCCGCGCACGGAGGGCAGCGCGGTGGATGGCCGGGTGGGCGGTCTGAGCACGGGGCCCAGAGGTCGGCCGCGTGGCCACCGCCAGAAAGGCACAGCGGTCCAGCTCGGCCATCAGAGCGCCGGATCGCGCCCCTGAGATCAAGGGGGGCCCCACGGGGCCCAGCAACCTCGGTGATGGGGCGAAAAAGTCCGAGCGAGCGGCCCTGGGCCTCTCCCTGATCTCCCCAGTCCACCACGCTGCGCCCCAAAATGTCGCGCGCTGTCGCAACAAGCAGCTGGAATTCACCTCCCTTCTAGAGCCCGGGAACCGATCCCCCTGCTGGCCAGGGGCACAACCGCGCATGATGGTTCAACCCTAGGTGGCGCGTGGAGGCCGGCTCGCATGTGTCATTGGTAAGGGCATCGGCACGATCAACGAGCTCCTGCGCAGAGCAACTGAGCAAATCAATGAGACTACCTGCGAAAGACGTGGAAGATCTCTTGGCCAAGGTCCGCAGCAGTGGCGAAGTGCGGGGGGGCCTCTGGGATCTTCCAAGCGAATCCCTACTCTTTGACATGCTGCCCGACGTTGGTCTGCACGCGAGCAGAGAGAATGTTGAACGCGTCCGCGGCCAGCGCTATTCCGGGCCTGCCCCCAGTTCCCGAGCAAGCAAACTTGCTGGCGCTCTGAAGTCACCTGCAAAAGTGCCTACTTGATTCTCTATGGGGAGCGCCAGCGGGGATGTGTCTGTGTGTGTATGTGTGTTTGCGTGTGCTTGCGCGCGTGCGTGCGCGCGCGGGCGGCGTGAGGGGGGGGCGCCGGGAACGCCGAAGGGAGTTCTAAGTTCTTACTGGGCGCCGAGCGCCGACGACAACGACGACGACGCCGAACGGCCTCAGCGACATGGTCCGTTGCCTGAGCGCAGGGAAAGCGGGATGGTCCGTTGCCTGAGCGCCGAATAAAAAGCAGCGATGAGATCGAGAAAGATGCCGGGACCGACAGGTCCCCGGCCTTCGCGACTTCCCAGACAACGCAAATCGCGAGGAAAGTCGCCCCGGGCCCTCTACCCAGGACCCCCGGGCCCGCCCCGCACCAGGCGACAAGGAAAGGAGGGAAGGAGAGGGGGGGGGCAGAGGCTTCGCGCCCAACTGCTCGAGACTCCCATAGTAATGCTCGCCCGCTGCGCCGCCCAGGGGAAGGCGGCGCCGGGAGGGAAGTTTGCCGAGCAATCCTTTGCATTATACAGCGTGCAAGTGCAACGCGCGGCGTCTCCAGCGACTTCCGCAAGTGGCCCTCTCTGTTGCAGACCAGCCTTTGGCAACGGCGGGTAGACGGGCCCAACCGCGCCAGCAGGACCACGTCAGCCACGCAAACTGTGCATGGATTTCGCCAGGGCCCTCGGCAGGAAATAGCGGGGCTTTGCTGAGACTAGCTTGCACATCGAAAAACGTAGGCATGGCCCCCAGAGCGGGGTCAACATCAAAACCTATCCTCAAGCCAATGGAGCTGCGCACCCGGACAAACTGCGGTCTGTTCACTTGCGCGGCAACCTCGACGCCTGCAGTGACGCCCAGATGGATTTCCGAAGCGTGTCTAGGAGAAGGGGCCATTTCCCCGTGCAACATGTCATGGCGGGAGTGACGATCTCTGCGAGCTGGTTAACCCCCAAACCTGAGGGCCCTGCCCAGGGCCTGCCACTACTCTTTGGCTGAGGATGCTCTTCGATGGAGGTCTTGATCTGGTTGCGCTGTCCCATCAAAAACACGGGGCATGCCCCGACGCAGAGCTTCTATCGCAACATCGCGCGACTCACGCTGAAGGCCGCGACCGGCAAGCTAGAGACGACCGGCGCGAGCGTGGCCCTGGAGGAAAAACGGAAAGAGAGGAACAACAATTCATCGATATACCTGTACATATAAAAAAGCTCGCCCCCGCTCAAAACAAAAAACACGACCAAGTGACGGACTGGGTGGGTGGGTGGGGCATCCTCCTCATCTCCTGCGTCTCCTCATCCTTATTCCCTTATCCCCTCATCTTATGTATTATCTTCCTCCTGCTCCTCATTTCTGCTCCTCTCGCTTCCTCACTCCCTCCTCGCTCCTCACCTTCACCACCCTCGTCCTCCTTATCATTATCATCTTCCTCTTCTCCTCATCCAAATTGCGAAAGTTTGCGATATGTGGTTTGGGAGTGCTGGGGGGGGGGGGGGGGACCATCTAATATATATATATATTATATATATATACATACATATATATATACGTATAGATATTTATACATACATACATACATGCATGCATACATACATACATACATACATACAGACATACATACATACATACATACATAATTATGTTTATGTCTACACACATCTATATGTAACAAAACAGCGCTCGCGCGTCGCCCAGCCAAGCAGCTGCTCTGCAACTGGCGCCGCTGGTACAGGGGCCGAGCTTGCTCTCTGCAAGATCTCCCCTTGGGGCCCGGAAAGCAAAACGACGCGGCGCGCGCTGCTTCTAGCCCTGATTGGCCAGGGTTTGCTTGAACAGTCTGAGGGAGTGGAACCGGAAGCGCTCGTCGTAGACCGCCACGAGTGAAGACCTCGGCGACCGCTAGTTGGGAGCGGTCCCTCCCTGCAAAGCCATGCTCGTGCACTGCGACACGTGCATTTCCAATGTCGCGTCAGAACTGTGTGTCCGAAACGAGCGTGTAATGCCCGTTGCCGTATCCTGGCCATGCTGTACACCATTGGTAGCCAAGTCGTCACTGCTTCCTTCCTGGCGATTCCTGTCGCGGGCCAACCCAGCCGGCGCGCGAGGCCAGCAATCGGCGCACGGACGCCCCGGCGTAGATCACTATTGGCAGAACATCCCCAGCAGTGGTGCTCGAGCGGAGGATGACACGGCGGGGGCTGAGAATGAGATGGAGGGGACGCGCGATCTGAGCTTGCTCGAGGGAGATCGAATTGAAGCCAAATCCTCGCATGCCCTGGGCATCTTTCCGCCCGCGAGAGTCGGTGTCAGCGGCTCGGGCAGGGCGCGCAACGTGCCCCAGGCCATCCTTGAACGGCAGCGCGGTCTTAGGGCACCCCATCCTTTGTCTGTCCTGTCTGGGCCAAGGGGCCCTGGGAAATCCTGCGAGCCTTTCCCGC